AAAGATTTATAATCAATTAAAAGTATTAATAAAGAAATGATATTTTAAATCTTGCTTCAATCCTTAACATCTTATGACTACGTGATTAGGGTTGTCAAAACGACTCTTTGTTTGTGAACGGCTCGTGTTCGGCTCGTTTGCTGTTCAGCTCGCTAAGCAAACGAGCCGAACACGAACACACTTTTCGAGCTCGAAATATAAACGAGCCGAACACAAGCTAAGCCTGAGCTCGTTCGTGTTCGACTTCTTTACACCCCTAAGTACACATCCTTAATCATAAACATTTTCATTTTTTTCAATATCAACCTCAAATTTACAATTTTTTTTCAATACCAACCTCAAATTTACTATCCACGTATACATATCATATACGTATCATACGAATTTATCTTTGTCGTATCGTCAGTGGCTGAACCAGCATTATTTCGTAGGGCGCACAAATTCATCAAATATCTAGTTTTTCAGAAGCATTGGGCGAAATATTATAGCGAGCGGGGCAAAAAAAAAAAAAAACTATTTATATATAAAAATTACAAATTTCAAGGATGTGTAATTATTTACTTTGTACATAACCTAGTTCCGCCCCTGCATATCTTATACGTATACGTTTCCCGGTAGAGAATCCTTGTGAAGCTCAAAATTCCATAGAGAGTGCTCAGAGTCACCTTTTCCCCAACATTTTAAAATTACAAATGACAACAACATACAGAGATTTGCTTTGCACAATTTAAGGAATTGTTTCATCTAACTCCATTAAAAGGAGAACCTACCCATACTTTGCTCCTCCATTGTGCTCCCTGGAGGAGAAGAAGAGCTCTTCTCCTCCCTCATACTTATATAGTGGAAAGTAAAGGGAGGAGAAATTCTCATCTTCTTCTTGCAACAAGGTCCTCTAATGGAGATTAAGAGGTTCAGTGCTCTTATTTTTATTCTGATATTGGCTTCATTGATGCCTCTTTCATCAGCAGGTTTGCTATGATACTTATATTTCAGACCTTTTCTTCTCTTTTTTTGGTAGTTCTGCAATTCTGAATTGATAGCAGAAGCTCATCAGCTTCCTTTATTTCCTTAAAATGCCTTAAATTTTCTTAAAAATTACTCTTTTTTTACAGAATTTAATGGCATGTAAACATTATAATGTATAGTTTCAGAATGGATGATATTATGGTAAAATAGAATTTACATTATTTAAATATCTATTTGTTTATTTTCTTGGTTTTTGCAGGTCGTGGGCAGAGAATATTGATTGGAAAACCTCTGCCATTTTCAGCACAGGTATATGTTAACTGGTTTTCAATTCCCTTCTTCTTCCATGTTTATTTGTCAGTTGCAGTTGAAGTTGAAGGATCTCAGTCATCCCGTCCAATTTGATTTGATTGGTAGATTCAATCCGCTCGAAATCAGACCGGATTGAATCGCAACAGCTCAAGGCGGATCGAATGACTGGGATCCTCTATCAGCAACTCCATAATCATTAATATAATTGTATAGAATCTTTATATATATTAATCTCCACTCTGGCTAATGATTAATAGTTTGATGATTAACAGGAACTTTCTAAGAAGCATCATCATAGAATTCTCAGAGTAACAACCAATGACTATGGAAACTATGAACCATCTCCATCATTGTCCAAACCTCCATTCAAGCTCATTCCAAACTGAAGTATTATAAGAAAAAAGAAAAGATTACAGCATTCTTTGATCTCTTCATAGTTCAAGGGGGGAATATCAAAATATTGTGTTACATTATTAAGATAATTGTGATGTGCAGTGAGCAACTTGTAAATATGTATTTTATCAGGTTTTTTGTGGCATGTTGACTTTGTTTTATAAATATATTTGAATTTATCAATCTTTTTGCTTTTGTTGTCTACTTTAATTTTGTCAATCTAGAAGAGTTTTGATTTCTAATCATTTGTTTTTTGCTCTTTTGGATTTGAAGAATCTTATTGAAACGTATGTTGATCTTCCATTCACAATATTAAAGCAATGATAGCTTTTTTCTTGATTGTAATGATTCTACCACAGTTGATGGTGTAGCTAGTTTCATTTAAGGTAAGTTGGCATGTATGGTCGACACTGTAGCTAATCTTGCCGTCGACCGGGGTGTTTATCTTTGCATGAATGACGTATGGTACTTGAGTGTTGGTGAAGTTTCGGACTGTTCTGAGCATTCAACATGTCGTGAACTAACCTGTGTTCAATTCGTTAATGAGCTTGCGTCTCAAGCTTATCGAGCTACAAGCTTGAGATCTAACTCGAACCCCAACTTATTTATTAAATGTCTATGCTTGGCTCATCAACTCACGAGCATGCTTAACTAGTCGGTTGACGGTCACATAAATGACTTTTCCGCTCTTTCTTCTCTAGCCATCGATGCTTTATTCGGTGTTCTTCTATGGTAATTTAATTTTTGGCTCGAACTCACAAGCTGGGTGTCATGATTGCCAGGCAAGCTCGAGCTTGTCATTCGAGCCGAAGCTTGTATTTTCATAAATGAGCTGAGCTTGAGTTAGACATAATTTGAGCTCGTCTCAACTTGTTTACACCATTATTTTTTGCTATCAATGCTTTAGTCAATAATCTTCATTTGAGGGAGGATGAGTTCTTGTGTTGAGCAAAGAGGTTGCTCGAGTATTTGGGCTAAACTTAATATTACTGCAGACACTCCCTGTCACGACTCAACCTGATATAACATTTATAAATTACAAGCTTGAGTTATTATGTACGAAGATTTTTCCAAAGATGATAAAAATGATGATGATATTGTTATAGATCCCGATTCTTGTGGCGTGTTTCAATTCTAAGTTTCATGTTCAAATCTTATTTCAAACATTTACTTTATGTTTGGTATTTGAGAATAATACATGCATGTCTTATTAAGTCAAGCATTGAAATCTATTAACATGTTTAATTTCTATCTTTAATTACCAAGATTTGTGGTCTATCAAATAACTTATTTATGCATTATATTTAAATTTATGGCTTTTTATTTTATTTTTTTATTACGAGGCTTACGCTTTGCTTCATATAGAAAAAACTTTTCAATTCTAGATTTCGTCTTTTTAAACATTGATACAATTTATGAAAAATGAGATTATAATTTGATGATAAAAAAGTTGTTTATATAGTTCAATTTATTTTAAAATATAATAGCAATTTTAGGGCGGCCAGTTGGTTGACATCCATGGTATAAGACTCCTCGGGTGAGGGTTCGAATCACCTTAAGATAGTTGGCCTTAAGTAGGTGATACTCAAATTTTTTGTCATTAGGGGTGGCTGGAGGCTCTTATTGGCCATTATTTTTAAATATATATTTTAAAAAACAAAACGAACCTCAACGTTATTCTAAAAGAGACTTGTTGGTAGCTGAGTAGGCTTGACATTAAACATTATTAGTCCTGCATGGGTTTCACACTTCGATTTATCATGCTTTGGTAGAGTTTTTTTAATATATATACATATATATATATTTATTTATATATATATATATAGTTAAAATATATATATATGAAAATAAATTCTAATAATTAGAAGTTAAACATAACAAACTACGTCATCCACAAATAGATTTCAACCTCTGCCAGTTTTCCGGAATTTCAACCTCTCAGCTCGCCTGAGCCCTACCTTCTTCTTCAATTTCTATCTCCTCCCACCTTGCAGCTGCAGCGCGCGCGCTCTCTATCTCTCTGTGGAGTATTGATCACTGTAATCGTTGCTATTTCTTCTTCTTCCAAAACCAAACCCTAAGTGCAAGAATTGAAAGCGAGGATGGGGAATACGGAGAAGCTGATGAACCAAATAATGGAGCTCAAATTCACTTCGAAGAGCCTTCAGCGTCAGGCTCGAAAATGCGAGAAGGAGGAGAAGGCGGAGAAGCTCAAGGTCAAGAAGGCCATCGAGAAGGGTAACATGGACGGTGCCCGAATCTACGCGGAGAATTCCATCCGAAAGCGCAGCGAGCAGATGAACTACCTCCGCCTGGCCTCCCGCCTCGATGCTGTTGTCTCTCGGTTGGATACCCAAGCTAAGATGCAGGTCATCGGCAAATCCATGGGCTCGATCGTCAAGTCCCTTGACTCCGCTTTGGCGACAGGCAACCTTCAGAAGATGTCTGAGACGATGGACCAGTTCGAGCGCCAGTTCGTTAACATGGAGGTTCAGGCTGAGTTCATGGAGGGCGCCATGGCTGGATCTACTAGCCTCTCTACTCCTGAGGCCGAGGTCAGTAGCCTTATGCAGCAGGTTGCGGATGATTACGGTCTTGAGGTCTCTGTTGGCCTGCCCCAAGCCGCTGCTCATGCCATTCCTAATTCCAAGGAGAAAGAGAAGGTTGATGAGGATGATCTGTCCAGGCGGCTTGCTGAGCTTAAAGCTAGGGGTTAGACGTTGATGTTGGTGATGATGATGATGATGAGGAGCTCATTATATGCTTGTGGGTGATTATTGCTCTTTAATGTGGACACTTTATCTTCGTTTTATATCTATGTAGTGTTTTTAACTTGAGAATGATATGCTATGGTATGCTATTAAACTAAGTGCTGTGTCAGTAAAACTCTTGTATTGGCAAATATGGTTTGCTTCATATCCCTTGCTGAGCTATTTAATTCATATTTCACTCTGTAAAGCCGAAAATTATATGTGTTTTTCAGTCATACACTGCTTACTCATGGATCCATGATCCATGATCCATTTGTATGCGCTTGTGTGGGCACCTATGTGCATGGGCACTTATTTGCATGCATGCATCTATTTGTTTTTCCATGCACATATTTATGCATACGCATCTTCTGTAATTTGTTCTCGAGTTTTTAATTTTTTTTTGTTTTTTGCAATAATTTATTTTTGTTTGTGCTCTCACAATTAAAATCAATATTATGCATCTTCATCTCCACTAATGAAACTAACAGTATATGTTTATTTAGTTTAAGCAGTCGGCCTTCAAGAAAGAATTGTTGTAATTAAATTTGTGAAATTAGTGGACAACATTGTAACATTTTTTATGATGTTATTTGCGAGGAACTATTCAATGAAATTTCATGTGCATTCCAAATTTTGTTTTTGTAAGTTTTCTTGGACATTTGCTAGCCTTATGACATTTGATCTGCACACCTTTTCTTCCTATTGCATTAGTAGTAAGTAATATATATATTTGCATTCCTTGTGATGTTTGTATATTTATTATTTTAGCCAGGCATTTAATGAAATAAATAAAAGATTAGGAAAGGGAAGTGAATGTTTAGAAGATCAAAACCTTATAATTAGTAGAACAAAGATTGAGTAATGTATAATTCTATTATGTATGATATTATTAATTATCATTCAATATTATTAAAATATGAAGTGATATATAGGTGTGACTGTTTTGAGTATCTTGAATCTATTGTACATAAGAATGGAGATATAAAATGTGAATACAAATTTTTAGTTTTTTATGGTAAGAGGTTATCATGAATTCTTAAAGTTAAATTTTGTAAAATTACAATTAGGTTTGTGAATTAGTATAAATTTGATTGTTGGGCTTTCAAAGAGTTTTTGATATACAAGTGGAGCATTATAGAAATGAGAATATTAAAATTGATGCGTGACAAAACTATGAAGGATAAATTAAGGAATAATTATGCTCAAGAAAAAGTTGGATTGATGTATTTTGAAGGTAAAGTGATTGAAATTAGACTTAAATAAATTGAGAATGTAGAACAAAAGGTAGAATGCAGCTGTTGGGCATGTTGATAAAAATAGTTTCAAAGGATTACAGTAGAAAAGGGGTAGACATTAAGTTACATGGATAAAATTTGTTTATGATGATGTTAACATGTGCATTGATTGTCAAGCTTACTCATTTTTGTCTACTTTACTTTATGGCGTCAAGCCTTATATTGCCAAGTGTTACATTGTTCTTGGCATTGTAAGTGTTCTCCTTAATATTGTGATATTAGGCTACATTTAAAATTTCCCATCAATTTTTACTATATTCCCCTAGAAATCTTGCAATCATATATATATCCTATAGTTATTAGTTACGTTATCAATTTATGATAAAAAATTTCATTAAAGATATATCCCTTTCAAGCTTCAGATCCAAGATGTAATATGATTTTTTAGGGTGAATAAGCTTTTCTAAACTAGGGTGCTTGGATCTAACGTAAAGATCTTAGTCCTCTAGTTTAATCTACCCTATGATCTAGGCTTTGTTGTGGTTTTGAGATGATATGATAAGCTTAGATCAAGAGATTTAAGTTTGTCATATTCTTTGGAAAATGAAGAGTTATAATATTGCCTTGATTGATCTTAAGCAATATCCTTGTTTTCCACTTAGAGACTCTCAGTAGTGAGATGAAGTGTGAGAGTTTGTGTGTGATCCTTGCAGATCAATAGAGACATGTGAATTGAGGTAGGGAAA